ATTTATATATTTATATACATATATATATAGACATATTAATATATTTATATAATATAAGAAATTTGGAACTTGCATTATGAAACCAAATTGATATGTTTCTTCAGATAGCTGAACATATCGTTGCTTTGTATGATCTACGCGAAAATGACCCACTCAGAGATCATTCTCATATAGATTATAAAACACGCAACAATATGTTCAGCTATCTAAAGAAACATATCAACTTAACTTCAAAATGCAAGCTTCAAATTATTGTGAGAATAAATGCTAACATTAAATCGAATATCTGTTTGAACTGATATTGTCTAAAGAATGCTATTCCGAAGATAGTTGCTATAAAAATATGTGTGGTGACCTAAATAAACTTACTTGCTGTAAGATCTTACAATAACATTTTTCAACGTATACTTGTCGTATCGTGTGCTAAACAAAATATGTAAAATACTTGCATGTAGGTATGTCTGTAGTGTAACGTAAAAAAGAATGCGCATCTCTGCTATACAAAGAAAATGCTTTAAGTAAATGCGTTTTTGCTCTGATTTATTAAAATACGTAAATCAAAAAGTATACGTACAGATATTTTTTTAGAACATGATTAAAAATAGATTCTAAAAATAAAAAATAATAAATCCATATACATTTCTTGTTATTTATACAGTTTAATTATACTGGCGAATTTATCAATTTTAAAACGATATTTTTATAGATTATTTAAAATGTGAACATGATATATTTTATTTGCTCTAGAAATAAATGGATCTTTTAGTTGCTATTGAAATATACAATATCGAATTTTAAAGCCACAATATGTATTGCTTAATTGTGTATGATTTATAAGCTAATAAATATGAAAAATAATATTTAAATTATAAATTATACGTTAATTTTATTGCTACCAGATTGTGTAATTAAAATCTCAAAAAAAATGTAATTATATGTTTTCAAAGCTTTTTAAAACATTTTAATCATTTTATTTTACAACGCAGATATGTTGCTTGTTCTATTATATTGTACTTTAAAAATTACACATGAGAAAATAAAAGAAAATGTTTTTTTAGCTTTAAAGTTTGAGTATCATATCTTCAAAGATAAGTGATAATCCACAAAGATGGATGAAAGATACCGTTTTATACATATCCCTAAGTAGCAAGGTAACGTCAAATGATGCTTTAATGATGTCTTAGACGTCTTTAACGTCTTGACGTTAGAAATTAAGACATCATTTGACGTCACCTTGCTACTTGGGATCTTATATATCAAGTTTCATGCGCATTGATAAGTTCACGTCAGCGGAATTGCCTGATAAAGTATGTATAAAAAGTGCTAAATGAAAACTGTCTATCCTTCTCGTGTATAAAACGTTCTATCTTCGAAAATAAACGATTTACGGCTATGCAACTACGCAATATCTGCATCGCTATATCCGATCCTTTGAATGAGATATTGGATGCGTCGATATTGTCCGTCTGATACTTCAAACGATATAATTCGGTGATTTGACGCTGTCTCTTCGATTCATTAGTGGCAATGCAGCGTTGTCAATGGAATAGTTTAGCTTTAACATTTTCTGTGCAGCAGATCATACGAGATCATACAAGTAAAATATAATATATATTTTATTGGAAAGAAAAATAAATGCAAATATAAAATTTTGGGGATAAATGTTTTTAAAATAATATCGCTAATATCTTTTTTGTGTACATAATATTATAAAATTATGATTGTATTTTATTCAAAACAGCGAATAAACTATATTGAATCGCCAAACATATTATGCAAATCGTTAAATGGAGAATATTTGCAAACATAAAACGAAAATAAAATGTTGATCAAATGTTATTTGCAATCAAGGTATAATGATAGGTAATTACCCGAATTGTATGCAAGGATATCGGAGCGTTGAAATCCTGTCAATTCTTGCGTTTGACGACGTCGCACATTTGTTCGATCCATCACGCAGCAACATTTGCAGATTACTAGATCAAAGTAAACTCGAAACCTGAAACAATTGTGACGCTCTATGACTCATGTGGCTGCGTCTATAAACAATTCTCTGTCCATTTAATTAATTAAATTGAAGTGCATTGGATGCAAAGAACTGTTTGTGTAAGATAATGCGATTTGTGCGCTCATACACATGAATAAAATTTCCAATAAATTGAAGATAGTTTTATATTATCACTATATTATAATCAAGCGGATTAGCGCTTTGAGTTCAGATCGGATAATAATACTACTGTATTTATATTACATATCTATTTATAAAAAAAGATGAATTTAAAAGCTAAAAATATTATGGATAACTAGTATAACCTGTTAATAAACAGAGCATATTTTATTTTCCTATTTTTTTCAATTTTTAAATAATATTATCAAACATTGTTATCTAGAACTCGAGCGTTTATTATGTAGAATCTAATAGATTGTGAGTGAGAATTATGAAAGCAGTAAAAGACCAGAAAATAGTGTAATTATTGCATGTTAGCGTGCAACCGTTTTATGTATATGTCAACACCAATAACATTTATTTGTGATTGTTATGCTATTGCGCGATATCATTTTAATAGAATGATAATTGAATTCACACTGCTTATTGCAGGTATGCAGTGGTCGTTGAATAGACAATGGTGGAGAGAATGCAAATATTGCAGCGCTGTCACTGTGGAAGATGTCAAACTTCAAATTTAATCAATTTGTCGTTGCAACATAAGATAGTAAGATTTAGAATTATAACGCATTTACATGCGCAATTTATTGGAACAGGATACACAATTATTAAAATAAGTCTATCATAAATATGATAATCTGGACGTTATTTCTAGAAATAACAAAACTTTAAATTTTAATCACAAACTGATTAATTTTTTTCACGAATTTGGTTTAAAATTTAATTGCGCGTTGAATTAAATTGATGATAAAAATGTTACAATATTGTTAATTAATCTTTTTATATATTTTTCTATATAAAATTGTTTATAATTTTGTTTAAAAATGATTTTTAATAACAAGTTTATTTAATTTTATGATAATCTCACGAAAATGTTTTTAAAGAGTATGCAGGCTGTTTTTGTTTTTTATTGCTGTATGTTATATCGTACTAAAATGTTTTTAATTGTATTTTACATTATATATATATATCGTGTATTTCACTGGTGTTCCATCCGTTAAATTTCTTGATTCTGAAAATTAATCAAGTCTGACAAACGCTATATAATCATCACTGTCAGATATGCTTTACCTTTATCAAACTTCGAAGAAATCTTGTTATTAACACTTGCTATATCAGTTATACTTTTAAGCGATTCTATTAGCGTCGATACTCCCGGCAATCTTTTGTAAGTTAATTGTCTGTTAAATTATATATATATATATATATTTTTTTTTTTTTTTTTTCGGAAAGCAATATAGGGAACAATAGAGGGGAAAAAAATTATTTGTTTTACTTATTTCTCTTTTAATTATTCACAATTTCATTAAACATAGTACGGATAATTATTAGACAATTAACTCACAGAAGATTGCCGGGAGTTTCGATGCTAATAGAATCGCCTAAGAGTGTAAATGATATAGCAAGCGTTAATAATAAAATTTCTTTGAAGTGCAATAAAGGTAAAGCGTATCTGATAGTGATGATTATATTGCGTTTGTCAGACCTGATTGGTTTTCAGAATGAAGAAATTTAACGGATGGAATACCAGTGAAATAAACTATTCTGAATCAATATGCAAATGTGAGGAAATATATGATTACATTGTAAACGGAAACTCTGTGATTAACCGAGGGATCAATATTATTCGCGTTATCGATTAAATGATGCGGTCACGAAACCGCTAAATGACTTTTAATGTTCAAAAATTTTATTGAGCTTATATAATCGTTATTAATCATCTCTAATGTAGATTAACGTGGAAATAATTGTATTTTTATGAAAGATTTTTTACATAGTTTTTTATTACTTTTTTCAAACGTGATTATTAATGAAGATTATTAAATATATTTTTCTAGAAAAGCAATTAATTTATAATTTATACTTTTATTTCAAAGTAATACTAATTATATTGAAACAGTGGGTTTATATAATTTTGTACAAAAGTCCCCGATAAAGTTTTAAGATGAGGAATTATATTTTTGACATCAATAATCCTGAGTTTCGTCTTCATCCCTTTAAATTGTCAGAGACTGCTTCGTACAATCTCAAGAGATGTCCAATTTTTTAAAGTATTATGTTTGATTGGATGTTACTAGGATTTACGTAAGTCTCATTTACTACACAAGACTCGGATTCAATCAGTTTAATGCTAACGTAAAGTCTCATCAGGTATATACCTTTATTTTCATCACGTCATGCTGTTAATCTCATTGTGTCGTATCAATTTATTGCAAACTTATTCTTGGTGATATTAATCTCAAACTTTTTTTTTGATTAATTTATGCTTTTAAGATACAATAAATTTTTTTCTGCACTCTTCAAGCTTGTTTCATTCAACTGTGTTACAGAAATATTATATACATATAACTAAATATTTGTATCTATAATACATAGGTTTTGTTTAATCGTCAATATTATATTCATTTTATCATTAATTCTACTTCAAAATAAAGATTAGATGTATTTTAATGTGTTCTATAAAACGAATATAAAATTGAAATACATGTGAAACTGTTTCCTTATATAAAAAAAGTAACAATTGCATTTCTCTTCTTGTTAAGGTTTATGAACATTTTTTATATTATAAAAAACAATACCTGTTATTCATCCAATAATATATAATTGGATTAACCATAGAGTTGGACATGGCGAGCCAATAAAAGCCTAAATATACATGTTGTACATAACTGCTTTCTGCGAAATGACGATAATGATACACAAAAATAAAGAACCCCTGGTATGGCAGCCAACATACCGCAAATATTGTCACCACAATGATAAACATTTTTACAACCTGTAACAAACAAACAAATATTAAAAGAATTTTTTAAATACATTTTGTCCTCTATTATTATATTTTTTTTAATTGTGGACATTTTGATGAATTTGAGAAATGAGATTGGTTAAATATGTTCTTTTTTCAAATTATATTTATTCTTTATAAGAGGCCACACAAAATTTATTGATTAAGTAATTCCGTTCTTGTTATATATGTATTGGACAAATTATTACTAAGCTTTTAATAAAGTTTGGCAAACATTTTTATTGCTGCATTTTGCCGTTACATTTTTATGATTGATACAGACAATGTTTGCAACAAACGTGTATAGTTGTATGTAATTCCGAAACTTATATCAACAATATCCATTGTAACATGCGCTGTTTGGCAATAATATTAAGGAGAGATAGATTAATAGAAACCTATTATCCTAAAGCTTCAGCTTTACAGCTTCAACGTTCGTTTTGCGTTTGCAAGTTATTAATTTGCTACTACCAACGTAATTAAAAGTTTCATATAAAACACAGAAGTAAATAATTGATTTATGTCATTAAAAATACATATTTTTTTATATTTAAACAGATAATTATAAAAACTTTTTTGATTTGCATGCATAAATAAAATTGCTAACCGTGTCATAACAATAATGCGACAGTGACCTAGTTTATATATAAAAGCACATTTAAAAATTTTTGGATACTTGAAAAGTGAAAATTTTCTATTTTGTATTTTATTATAATTATTTTATTGTGATTATTTCTAAAATTTTTTGATGCATCTTCATCTTTTTAAAAAATTTAGGAAACTATAAGAACACAATGTGCAAGAAAATATTTATTTTTAAACTTTACAACATGACAGTCGACACATTTTTACATCAACACATTATACTTACATCAATATGAAATATTATTTAAAGAGTAATATGGAAAAAATCAATAACATACCTTACGTTTAGATTTCATCGATTCTTTTTGATAATGTGTAAGTTCGCCGATAGATTTTGAGCCCCATAATTTCCGTCCCATACATGCATAACAAACAGCCATTACTGTCATAGGAACCAGATACGTTACAGTGAGGAATAGGAGATTGTAGCTGTAGAATAAATAAATTATATATAACTATAAAGAACCCACACACACACTACTATTATATCAAATTTTATTAAAACCGTATCTTGTTTCATAAAATATACGTGGCTAACAACGCAGATTACTCAAGAAAAATGCAGAGAATCTGTTTTTATTAATTGAGATATACTTAAGTGCCATATAACAATAATATGAAACAAATTAACAATTTTTAATTCTGGATTAGTATTGTAGTATTGTATATTTAGGAATATGCCAAAAAAAATTTAGGTAGAAAATTTAAGCAGCGTAATTAATCATATTATCGTCATAATTCAGAACTTTCGCACAAAAATCAAAACAATTCAATCAGTTTTAATAACTAAATAAATTATTTATTAAATAAAAAGAGAGAGAACGATTTAAGAAAGACACAATAGTTATTAATCTTAATTAGAAAAAAAAGCTATACGTCAAATAATAAAATCAAATAATAAAAAATAAGAATTGTTTTGCTGATTTGATTTTAATTTATTATTTGCTAATTCCAGAATGTATTGTACAAAATTCATTTTATGATATGCAGATAAACAAAATAATTATACAAAAAAAAACAAATATTTTCTATTTGGTTAAAATGTGTTATATAGATACAACAACATGAATGTTCTTTATTCGTTTCAATATATCGTGGATGAAAAGTTTTATTAAAAAAGTTTCTGCTGTTTGTATAATCATTCTTGATAATAAAGTTATTTGATGTAACTAATTGAGATTAATATCGCTTTAATCATTAGTTTTGTCATTATTTGCTCGAAATATTTTGACAATTGTCTGGCATAGACAATATAATTTCGATTTTGTTTTTGCTATAACATCTATGTATTCTTTTCAAAATTTAAATTTTCTAAAATTAAATTAATTTGGATTATAAGAAATCAATTTTCTAAAATTAAATTAATTTGGATTATAAGAAATAAAAGCGCATACCAATCAATATATTAATTACTTATTTTATTTCGTCGCGAGGTACGGTCGTCGCTAAACCTGATGCAAAATATTGATTATTTATTATATTTCACCGTGGACAAGAATCATCTCCCACTTTAAAATTCTAAAGAGACAAAGGTGGAAACTTTGCGCGGGAATTCTTGCCATTTGCTATAAATAAGCGAGATAATTAGCGTACTCACTCATTTTGTTAGTCAGACATGCGTTTATCATTCAGTAACTTGTAATTTGTCATTTGTTACGGAGTTATTCGTAATTTAATTTAATTCTTTGTAAAATTTAATAACGATTTATTAAAGGTTATTTAAAATTTTAAATTCAGTGTCGATGCTTAAAAAGGCTGGCCGTCGAGTCCAAATTAAAAGAATTCTAAACAAAAAGGGCTTTATTTTCCGATCAAGACCCCTTTCTTCTCTTTATAAAACTCCACAATCTTACAAATGAAATAAATCAACAACATCTTATGGTAAATTAAAACCAATTAAATTCGAAATCGAATATCCCAATTATAAATTGATTAAAAAGAACGATTTTTCGTTCGAACGACTCCCGTCGAAAATATTATAAAATCTGTGAATTATTCGGATCAGAGTAAAATAATAATTTAAAAAAAAAAAAGCATAAACCAGGTCCACACCCGAATAAATTTCTTAAATGATTTGACCCCAAAACGGACCAAACTTTATTAAATCAAAATGTGACATTGCAAATGCTTTCGATTGAAATTTCAATCCCAAAATTTTATCCCAAAGTATACACGAAAATCATGATCGTTTAATAACTTAAATTACACATAAGAGAAGCATTCTTCTCTCTTTGAGGTTACTTAAGACTTGACATAGATAGAAACTGTGCAGAACTTGGATACTATTTTGACATATACATATGCATGTATAACCCAGCCACTTCCTTTGTGAAGTGTTTTAAATTATCCTATTAAGCCCGAATCACACTAGCGGCTCGCGGCTGCGATTGCGATTACCTCAGCCAATCAGAAAGCACCAATTGCAAGTATGATTGGAGCGTAGCAAATCACAATCACAAACGCAATCGCAATCGCAGCCGCGAGCCGCTAATGTGATTCAGGCTTTATGCGTTAAATCCAGCAGAATTATTGTCAAATAAACCTAACTTGAAGACATTTTGTAGATATATAGGAACAGAGATATTCACTTTATGCGCAAACTTCAAGTGATGTTCTTTGTAAGAGAAGAGTGTATTGCACTAACGGCTTTAAGAGGATGCCGGACCGTCCTGTTTTACCGACCATAATAATTATATATTTGCTTAATATAAAAGTTTTGGCAGTTTGTATGTACAAAATAAGATAGGTTCCCACTCGGAAATGCATGAAAGAATATAAGTGAACGTTTGAAAATATATTTAGAAGCCTAGTAAAAAACATTTCGGTGTTCAAAAATTTTGCACACCGAAATGTTTTTTACTAGGCTTCTAAATACATTTTCAAACGTTCACTTATATTCTTTCATGCATTTCCGAGTGGGAACCTATCTTATTTTGTACATACAAACTGCAAAACTTTTATATTAAGCAAATATTGTTACGACCTGACGCAAGAAGCCGGTAAAAAAACTGTAATTTTTTAGATTTTCTTCGTTTTTCACGTAAAAGCGCAAGGTTCCCACTTTTTCGATGTATATACTTTAATCGTGGAAAAGGATTTCTTATTTCATGTAACCAATATAAAAATTTCGGTCTGCAAAGTGTAATTATTATGGCCGGTAAAACAGGACTCCGGCATCACCTTAAGTTTGCAAACTATCCAATAAATGAAAATACTTCGAAGATACATATACCTAAAGTTTTACTTATTGTTAGATGATGTATATGAGTTATTTCCCTGAATCAGATATAATCAAAATTCACAGAAAGATTCAATTAGAAATTAACATTTTTTTATAAAAAATTTGAGTATAATCATTGTTTTTATAACTTTTAATTAATAATTTTTTAAATTTGAAAACTCGGTAATTAAATCTTTTTAAACAAAATTTTATAAACTTATTAAGAGAAAAGAAGCTATAAGTAATAATGCAAATGATAAAAAAAAGATATGTATTCACATATTTGACTCTTATAGATTATAAATTATACATTTTTTTATATATATATATATATCC